CACGTTTTGCTCGTATGATTTTATTTATGGTCTACATTTTTGATTTGGGTGCCGTAAGTTTATTTTTCAGTCGACACAATAAAACGGGAAAACAGTCCGCCACCTTCTACTGGATGTGCGGCTGCAAAGCAAAATGAAATTATTAATTTGCATGTGTGATTATTTTCATATAAATAATATGAGCAGGCGAGGGGCGAGAGCCCATTTTTTTAATGCCCTGCGGGTCTGAAAAGTATGCTACGACTGTGACTATGACCTAGCCTCTGCACGCGTGTGTGCTCTTTTTCTGTGTGTGACTGTGCAAATTAAATTTGCATATACGGCGCGTGTTTTCTTTACTGTGGGCAATGCAATAAACAACCACATACAATCGTACTCATACCAGTATTTTTTGTGCACAAACTAACTTTGAAGTGAACTGTTTTCACTAAAATAATTCTAAGAGATACTATACGGAAGGGTTTAAGTGAAAAGTTATTTAAGATTAATCAAAATTGAAGTTGCAATTTTTTTTATTTCTGTTCACTTAAACAATTATTTGATTACTATCGGGTATGGTTGCCTACGGTGATTTCCCCAGAGAGCTTTTAATAATATAATAAACCTTTCTTAGCTTTATTTATGTTGCCATTCATAGGCACCCTATGCCGTATTTATGGTCGTCTTTGATAATTGGTGTTTATAAAAAATATGAAAAAAACCCTGATTCAAAATTATGTTGGCGCAATAAGTGTAGACGGCTTATTCAAGTTTGTTTTATTATACACAAATACAATTAGACCAGCAGCTAAGAAATTAAATATTTTTGTCGATCTGCTTATGACACCTAAATCACATTTCTAAGGCTTACGTTTAGCAAGGAAACTTTTTCAATAAATGATTATAAAATTTCTATCAAATATACGGATAAAAAAAAAGTATACAATAATTTTTGTAAAACTGAATTTTTTTTAGTTATTTGTAAAAGTGAAGTTAAGTTTTAACGATTAGTTGTCTTGTGAGTACATTTTTCTGGCTAAATCAAAAAATATTGATTTGCACTTGGTAAGCATAATTATCCGTGTGTTAATTATAATTTATCAAGCGATTAATGCAATTGCCCGGGTCACTCGCTCTCGGCATACATCCTTGGCCACAGGTTCGCAGCTGCTGCCGACGAGCTAAGGAAACAAACTTGAACAAATAAATTTGGTACGTGCCAGCTATGACTTATCGCCATCGCCAGCAAACACGGCCAGCATACAAATGGTTCGTTGAATAGCCGAAAGTACCAACAATAACAATGCCAACAATAATAACAATTGCAAAAGGAGTCGGAACAGGAGCAGAAGCAACAAGCATTTGTCATGTGACAATGGCTAGCAAAAATCTACGAGCTCCATGGTCATTTCATGGACTAACCGCAGAGATAGCGAGTCTAGTGGTCCAGTGGACCGGTGGTTTCGTTGGTCGAATGCCATATTTTATTTATGGACACAATTCCGTTGCACAAATTTGCCGCCTCGACACTTGGCAACACACAACTGGCCAAGTAATAGACCCATAACGGATATACGTGTTTGGCAAATTTGCTTGTTTGCAGCTTAAATTTAATTTATAAACTAAACAAATAGGAAGGTGCGGTGTGTGCACGTTCCTCTAATCAATTTTAACGGATTTACAGTGGTCAGTAATACTGGATGGCACTGTATTAAAGATACAATTTGTTATAATCACATCCATTTAATAAATAAATTAAAACACTTAAGTAACAGTTTTGGATATATTAACTATTATCTAGAGTATCATTAAGCATTTCAAAATTAAAGAAATAATGCCCACTGTGTCCCTTTTTTGGCTCATCAAAGGCAATTGCGAAATCGTTGGACTGACGACAGTTCTAAAAGGTTCCCAAACCTATTAAACCCAACTACCTTTTTACCCTTGCCCACAATTCTTTTTGCATTGTTATGTCGGACACGTAGACCGGACTGGCCAAATATTATACTATGCAAACTTTTACGCAAATTAACAAATTTTTCCCAACACATGGAAATAAAGTCCTATTTGCCTATGTCGCAGTTTGTTTATGCTCTAGCCTTAGGTGAGCTAGGGAATTGAATAAAGTGGAAAGGATGGAAGGGAGGCTGCTGTGGCATTGGTCAGACCGCAAATGCTGCAAACAATTGTGTTATTCTTTAGTAAATAACAGGACAAGTAGAACGGGATTTGACACTTTTTTAGATGCACACACTTTGCGGCATGCAAATTTAATTGCCAAACGCCTGAAGGCGATTGTCGCAGTTTGAAAAACAAGTATTTGATTAAATTATGCATTTTTATTTGCTTGGCATTTGTTGCATATTAGATGATGACAGAAATGTTTTTAGTAAATTCACCACAGTATTTATTTATGAGATCTTTTCTCAAGAAAATACTCGGTGCAAATGCGAAATGCAAATGTCAACGAAAATCCATATTCTTATCCATGTGCCAGTTGCTAGTTTCAAAAAGGAAAACAAAAATAATTACATTTTAAATTGAGCAAAATAGTGAAATGTGATTCCCTACACAAAGGAGTTCAAATCCTGCCGTGACTCGTTTTTCGGCTTTCTGGATTGACAGCCAGACATCACGCTTCATTTATATGTTGATGACAAAATTTGCAATGCAATCTAAGCCATGGGCCTTCTGGGAGGCCGCCAATAAAAGAAGCTGCAAGACGCTTTTACGTGCCTTGGATAAAGGTTAAATAACCAATTCCAATATTGATGACTTCAACGTGGCTGCGACACGGAGGCTAAACCAGTGTTGCAAAGCTAATAAGTATGATAAAGACCATATTGTCTCCAAAGGGCCTAAAGTAAATTTAAAGAGGCTTAAGTAACAATAAAATGTTACAATGTTAAATGTTATGTTTCGTAGTAACTAAAAATATAATTACCTTTTTCCGACATCTCATTTGCCCACCATTGTTGACATCCCACGATGTGGCATACCCAAATTAAAGATGTGCGAAGATATTTATACAAAAAGTATGTGAGCAAAAAAGGAAACAGAAATCTCATTTGTCGTACGTGCATATTTAATTCCCCATCCGAGCGGGAATAGAACGTATTACTAGCTTTAGTTGCTGCCCAAGAGTACGCAATAAAATGCAACTGCCATAAAGAGCTCGGCAGTGGCAGACAAACACAATTTCGATGTTTGTGTACTTGAAATAGATTTTTAATAGTCCAACTGACATACACAAATAAACAGAGAGGAGGGAACTGCAACTCCATTTCAAAAGCATTGGAGTCCTGCTTTATGCCAGGCTTTTGTTTGGCAGTCGAAAGCATTTATGCGATTTTGTCGTCGGAGCAAAACACGAAGATACACCCCACACACATTTGCCACTGCAAATATAAGTTTATGAAAAATGTCATTTGTTTGGTCCACAGTTATGAACTATTTATGGAGACAGAGAAATGAACAGCAAATTTGCTGTTGTCGAAACAAATTAATGTTTAGCTACAAACAATTTTCCTTTGATTGTTGTCTCCCTTATTGTTGTTGATGATTGAGTGCAGTGCGTTTCAAAAGTTCACATATAATTATGTTTTTATTGTGAATTTTAAGCACACTCATTTATAAAACCATTTAATAAATTGTGGCTTACCAATTAAATGAAAAAGGTGGATCTAAGTTTTATATCTTCGATTTAAGGTATTATATTTGACACTTTTTACTTACAGAGCGGAGTATGCAGCCATGAAACGCACTGTAGTCGAGATTGATGCACTTCGAAATAACCCAAGTAATTTGCTGGCCCAATATCTTGTGGTCCTTTTGGCAATTTAACAGCCGAACAACGAGCTGGCGGTAATAAAGTGCCAAATAAATGCAATAAAGCTGTTGGTACAAGTCGTTTTAGAAATCGGAAGTGGGAGGAGGTTTTTCGGGAGTGCGGATGGTGCCATAAATGTTCTCTCTTCCGGCTTTTATTACAAAACACACTCAAAAACGGCAAATAAAAAATGCAAATAAATAAACGCTGCGAACTGTCGAACAATTGAAAAGTTCCCCACAATAGAGCTGGGACTTAAGTGCTTACCGAAGGAGCTGCAACGGAATAGTCCTTAAAGCGAGTTCAAGGATGTGGGTGGTTGGGTGGTTAAGTGGGTGGTTTCGGGTGCTTTTGGCACAACAGGATTACAGGCAAATTGCAAAACGTCTTTGCATGTCTTAAGCAAACACACACACACACAAGAACGTATATTGCCCAAGCCAACTAATTTTATTGCTCAACACAATCGTGCCTTGTTTATTGCCCGGCCACTAGCCCCCTCTCTTTCAAGCATTCGCTACCCCTCTCTTTCTTCACGAAGAGTTCCGGTTTCGAGTGCAAAAATTTTAACAAGAAAATTGTTTAAGTCCTCCGTCTTGAGTTTCCCGATTAAGGCCACTGGTGGCCAGGACTTTTAAAGCTGTCTGTTTACTTCACCTTCGACAATCAAAAGCAGTCGCTTAAATTTTTGTACAAATAGGTTGAAATCGATCCGCAGCTAAAAGTTACTAGTGAAAATTGGTATTATTTTTTACATTAAAATATCATGCACCAAAAGAGTTCAGGTTTCTTTGGTTATAATTCAAATAAATATGTTAATAAATATATTTAATAAAGAATATTTTGTAAGAAAAATTCAAAAAACACGAATTTTTACTTAGATGCGAATGCAGTACTATAATTTCATTTATGAGTGTGTTTAATTTGTATTATAAAATGTACTATAACTGCCAAATTTACGCCTAATTTTCAAAATGAAATGAAATTTCACACCCAAAATTACGCTAAATTTAGTTTGAGAAAAAAATAGCAAAAAAAAAAAATTAAAATTTTTTCAGTGCACAGTTTATACCGCCTCAATCTTAATCCTTAAAGTGTAATTTCCAATCGAGTAGGCAGCGTCAATTGAAATCAGAGCAGGCCACTCTCTAGCTGACTGACTTTTCAGAGCCTGTAAAATCGAGGAATTTCTAAGGCAGCTCAGTTGTGAGGTGTATCAGCCTAATCATGCCCAACATTTTCCGCAGCTTTTTATCGGATCGCTATAATGGCAAACAGGACCGCTTCTACGCACGTTATGACGGTAAGGCTTTTGTTTAACTTGAATTCATTGAATAAATCTCATATAAATGAACAGTTTTTTCTCAAGCCATACCAAATATGCCACCGATGCCCAGACCAAAAAGTAATAACATCAGAAGTACCACAAAAGTCGAGCCCAAAATCAATGCAAAGTTAACTTATCTTTATGGCAGTAGGGAACCCAGTAATGATTGGCGTCAGGGCGATGATATACCCATTGTGGTCAGAAGAGAAATGGAGGAGCGACTGGGCTTCCAACTGATGGCAATCCAACTAATTTCGGAGAGCAACTTGGTCAGTCATACCATTTGGGAACTGAAACTGCATGGAGAAAATATTGAGGCAATGCCGAAAACGAATGAGGGTGCCAGAGTTGGCATTATTACAGTCTTGGTTGAACCCTCAGAGAGTAATTGTGGCAAAAAGAATGAATCTCGGTCGAAATTAATTCGAAGAGTACCTTTTTTAGCTAACCTGCCTGAGCCTCCTAAGCTTTTGGTGAAACCAGCACCATTGCAGCCCAAAAAGCAGGCGGTGAAGAGACATTTCAAGCAATTGGGTGAGCAGTTTGAATGCAGCGAATGTGTCAAGAAATTCGATCACTCCTGGACGCTGATCGCCCACATAAGGACTCACACCGGCGAAAGGCCCTTTGTATGTCCCGAATGGAGTTGCCAGAAGTCTTTTGCCGATCGGTGGGTACCAATAGTCCTATAAAACATAAAAAAGGTCAAAAACTAAAATCGAATATAAAGAATTAAAGATGACATTTCTGAACATTCCTTTGTTTACAAATAATATAATTATAATATAAAAAAAAATGTATAACCAAATTTTTGATTTTGATTTGAAATACATTGACCAATAATGGAATCAACAATATTTTCAAGTTAAAAAATTTTAAAATTTAATTTATTAAAATGTATTTTTTGTCTAAATTATTGTTCTATATATTTTAGATCCAATCTACGATCCCATATGCGCACCATGGGCCACCACGAGTGGCAGCATCAGTGCGGACAGTGCGGCAAGTATTTCAATCAGATTGCCTACCTGAATCGCCATTCGATGGACGCCTGTCGCAAATATCTGATGTCCATTATGCATAAGAAGCACTAGATAAGTAACATATTCTGTTCCAAATAACTGTTATGTGTATTTTTTTAGTGTATCTTACATAAACAAATTAAATGGATGAAATACTTACATTTAAGTCTAAGAACAGAAACGTCCCAGCCAAAAAACTAATCTCAAATGTGCTACCCATCACAGCTACAGCTGCCATTCTCTAACGGTCGCATATCCACTTAACATTTCAAAGCATCGAGCCTCGGCCTCAAAACGCCAGTTGGCCCAAACGTATTGCCCAAGTTTCAAGTATCGCCGGCCAGACTTAACGCACACACACTCACACACACCCGATGCAATTGCGTTCAATGCAACTAAATTGGCTCATTAGCAAACAAAGTGCGTCAAGGCGCTGGGGATGAAGGTGGCTTTCAGGACGAGTGCCGCTTCTTTGGGCAGCCAAAACATTTTCCCGACGAGTGTCTCCGCCGCCTCGTCGATTGGCTCAATCCCCAAAAGTTCCAAGTGCAAAAGTACTTTGCTCGGCGACTAAATCAAACAATGCCAATGAAAGTGCACGGATAACTTATCTTTCAGATACTACCATTACATTGCGTAACATTTTTCCACATTTATTTGAATACTTTTAAACATGAACACTGTAAATTACGAATTAAAATAAATATTTGTATAGATGTTCAGTTCTTTAATAATAATTAAATTTTTTAATTTAATATTTAAATAAAGAAAGAAATGTTTTGTATAAAAAATGAAATGTTCAGTGCTTTTTATTAGAATTTTTATATTTTGCCAATAAAATATTTAAAAGAAAAAAATTTTCTGTTTGAAAAATCTAAATATTAAGTTCAAATTCTTTTTTCAATTTTAATTAAATTGATAATATAACTTTTTGGTGCTTGCGTAAAAATGTCCACCTAAATTTTAACCACACGTACACTTCTTCTAGACAATTAATGATCAGAATGGCATACATTTGGAGGGGCATTTATCTGTTTAAGGAGGCGACTTCGATTGCGGTTTACCCCGGCCGCAGTGTAAATCCCACATTTGGCGGCAGCAGCTGCACGGCCAAGTGCCACGGTCGCAATGCAAACAGTTCGATGCAATTCGAAGGAAGGACAACGGCTAATGCCTTAATTTATGGTCGCCAGATAAGCAGGAAATGATTTAGGGACCCCCCCCTTTTAATGTAAGACATATGTCCACTAAAACGCAATTACTTAAACGAAGCGCACAATGAACAAGGAGCGGCAAATGTATCGTTTTATTTAAATATTTGATGAGCTCGCGTCACCTAATAAAATTGTAAAACATGAGCATTTTATTGGGCAGCAGTCTTCCGAATTTTCTTTTTCGTCGCTCATTTTTTTCGCTTTTCCTCCGGACAACTTGGCTAAAATGAAAGGGGTGGGCGAGAAGTTGAACTAAGTGAATTTTTATGCGACCATGAACGCAAGTCGCGTGCTTTTTCACAAAAACGAAGAAAAGTTAAATGGACAGAATACCCTTAGAAAAACTACGATTATTTATTTAAAACGTTTTATATTTTACATACATACATTATCATATAAACTGTTTAAGAACTTAACATCTGCTTAAAGTAAATGATTATTAAAAATAAATTTAGTAGTATTAAATAAATCATAAAATGTAAATCTTATTATAAAGGCATTTTGTAATAACTAAACAAAATATATCAATTTTAATTTAGTGTGCAGCTAAACTAAAATATTTCCAAAACTTAAATACCCATTGCTACATTTCTAGGGTACAAAGATGAGCAGCAGCCACAGGATCCAAGGCATCCTTTGCCGTACGAACGTATTTTTAAACTAATTTTCCAACTGGGAGCATTTCGATGGCATTTAACGTGCCAGCCATCAAGGAGACGGCAGGACACTGCAGCATCCGAAGGAGCAGTCGAAGCTGGTCAGTTGAGCCGTAAATTATTTTAGCGTTTCAATTTGGCTAGAAGGGAGACAGCAGCATCAGCAGCAGCAGTCATTGGCTGAATGGGTCCCATAATAAAGAATATATATGCATGGCTATCTAACTATTGCTTAAAAGTTACCCAAAATGATGAGCAAATAAAGTTGACTAATTCAATTGGATTTGCATTTGGTTTTCACATTTTGGGGGAATAAGTTGCTGACTAATTTTTGTGTGAGTAAAATTTAAACGACAACTTTAGCATTGATATTGAAAACTTCAATTAAGAATAAAGTGAAATAGATATTTTATTTACTAAAGATTGAAAATGATGAATTTAAATAATTGTAACAAAATTATTTTCCGAATAATATTCCAAAAATATATAAAAACACTTAGAAAGCTAGAATAGTGTATATGACGGAGTAATATTGTTTTGTGGATTTCAAGATAATAGTATACAAGATTGCTACAATGTATACATTTTTTTTCAAGAGTATTCAAATCCATCAAGTAGTCTGCCTCAATATCTCCATGGAATTCGCTTGCTCGACGATATTTACGTTTGCATTTGTTGCTTTTATACACGGTAATTAATAAATGTTGATTTCCCTTATTATAAAAAAATCTTAATAACAAAATATAGGTAATCATTTATCCCAATTATCAACTAACATAACATAACTAATTACCATAAACTTAAGCTTTATAGAGTTCACTTTCAACTTTTGGCCGTTTTAATTCAATCAATTTAATTTTCCTTATTACCTGGGACAACTTCGTAGCCGTTAAGCGAATGAAAATGTCATTTATTAGCGCAACTCGACCTGCCACTGAGGGCCATCAAAACCGCCGTGCAGCTCTTAATTTTGCAGGTCGTGAAAGGAAACGTCAGCGAAGATGCATCGCCAAGTTTTTGGCTAAATTTATGACCCGTCGTAAGCAACCAACAACAACCGGAAACTCTTAACCAAACATACACCCACAGACATCACGTTCTTACCTTTAGCTGTACTTAAAGGTACTTCGAACTTCCCATGAACTCATCAAATATTTTATTACTGGGCCACGGGATATATAACACCCAACACTTTTTATGATAGCGCTTTAAAAGAAGACAAATATAAAAACTGGTATTGCAATACAGAATAAATTATTCATAACAGATTTTGAAAACAAAGGACTGAACTGACTGAAACTGAAATATATTTCTTGTTTAAAAAATATGTTTATATTTTACACTTACGAATTTGTTCCGCTTAAGATACAAAAGTACATATTAAATACACAAATTAATTAATAAAGCCGTCAGCCAATACATTATAAATATCTACCACATATTTTTTTTAACATTTTTTTATTAATATTTTTTTCTAATTCTTTATATAAATACTAATAATAAAACTTTTAGAATGATTCTGGTATGTCTCTCATTAATCTAAAGAATTAAAAATGTTGGACTTAAAACTTTTTTAGATATGATAATTAAGAAAAAACAGATCATTTGAACAAATATAAACAGTACATTATTATTACTTATTAATAAAGGATAAGAAAGCTTGCCCCGCCCCAGTTGCAAGATAAATGTCGCATTCTTGTACAGAAAAAAAATCCAAAATTTGTTTTCTTCTTTTTTTGGTGATAAACGTGTACTTATTATATATGTTTCTTTTATACTTACATTTTAGGATTGGTGTACTAATTTATTTACGATATTCCATTTCAAATTTGATTTCAATAAGCTACCTGAAAGACTGGGTCTTAGTTAACCGCTGATTTTCATTATGATTAGGCTATTTATATGTGTGCAGTGACTCACATTAAAGTAAATGCGCTTTGTCAATAGACCTCAACTCGTTCCTCAGAGATATCGTCAAGTGAAGGGAACCGGGCCTCCCGACCCCGCGATCTCCTACACTCGCGGACATTAAGATAACAGTAGTAAAAATATATGAAGACCATTGCTATAAACACCGGTCCGCAGATAAAATAGGACAAATGAATCTGGCTATCAGTCATAGTGTTGCACCTGAAATATAAATAAATGAAAATTCAAATATTTCACTTAAAGTCCAATACTCGATTTCCACTTTTGGCAGTTAGTTTAGGTCATTTATATACAATCATATCTACTTAAAGCACTGAATCAATGGCAAATAAATTAAATTCGTAAATTGTGTTTAAAAACAAAATTAAGTTCAATTAATTTTTAAACATATTTGCCATAAGTGTATGTCACAGCACGCTTGATAAACCCTTTAAAACAACTCACGAATTAATAAACTTTTAATAGTTGTCTGCGCTGTTCCGACTATGAGTCAATTTGGTGCTGGCGACTATGGAGCATCCGGGACTAATCGACAATCGGTTCAGAGGCAAGGGAACTACCCGATTTTCGATCCGAGCTCTTCGACGATCGCGAACACACTGATGACAGTGATAGCAAAAGCACACCAGTGCCAACGAAATCATAATTGCAAAGGGTATCAGCAGGAAGAGATTGATTTCCAAGTAGCTTAGGAATTTTAAAATCGGTTTCCAATCCATAACGCAAACGACGCTCAATGAACGGGAGGAGAATCAAAACTAAATAGCAAGAAAACACAAAATTAATTTCGCCCTCAAATGGCGATTTTTTTATCTCATTTACACTTAGAAAAAAAACATAAAAGAAAGTTTTGCATATTGTAAAAATTGTTTTAAATATATAAAAACATTTTAACATTAAAAATGAATATTTTTATATATTAGTCAATGTACTTCTAACACTATCAAAGTATATAATTTCTCTCTCCCAGTTTTCTAAAAAACAGTAAAAACTATTTAGAAAAAAAAAAATTAATTTTTGTTGTATTAATAATATTAATATAAACCTTTAAGTTTCTAGAATATTTATGTGTATTATGTATGTATTGTTGGTCACCCACATGCTCGAGTTCGTGGATAAGCACGAGCTGGAATGAATCATGTAAGGGCGCTAAATAATTTCCCATCGTATTATTGTTTTCTTCGTCTCAGTCCGCTGATGACGATACCAGGGGACTCCAGAATCTGGGGACTAACCTCGACTATTGCAAACAAAATCGCTAGACAAACATGTACAACTCCAAGTGAAACGCGCCGTCCAGACGCAGCTCAATTCAAACTTTGAAATTGTGCGTTGTTGTTGACTGCAACTGCTCCTGACATTTGATGCTTTATGATGGCGTAAAAACCAAAAAACATACAGCACAAAAATAGATATATGCCGAATCACAACAGCACCTCGTGCGCTCCATTTTATGCTTCTCCAGACTGATGAGCAAAGTTTGGTTTTAATTTAAAATTTCGCCGCAAAAGTAGTTGCGTGTGCATTTTTTGGGGTCTTTTTGCTAAGGACCGACAACTGATAAAATTTAAAGAAGCACCGAGAATAAGTTACATTTCATTAATAATATTATTTTCACCGGATTAAAAAAGGGACAAGTCAAAAAATATATTTGTGCACCAAAGGCCAATTTCTTTTCTAATATAGATTTTTCTCTTTTAATTTTTGCAAAAAAACTAATGAATGAATAGGAAGGCAGCAAGTTGTTCGTTTTTTAGTGGAAAAAAATAACTTAAAGGTGCCGCAAAATATTTCGTACAACACCAACCAAATTGAAATTTTTTCGAAAGATAAAAAAAATAAACAAGATGCAGTTCATGCATTGAAAATCCTTTTGTATTGCTTAAAATTCTTTCGATGAAATAAAATTGTTTTTTGCCAACTATGTTCGGAGTTCAAAAATAATCATGGGAGATGGGGACTATACGGTGGGAGTAAGTTTGAAAGCGCAACAACAACTCACTCGCACACCCGGAAAACACACAGAACGCACACAGAATGGATATTTCTCATTCAATTTCGCAGGTGTTTGACTCCATGTCGGACGGAGGTGTGCTTGAATCGAAGGAGTGGGAAAGCCTTTGTCGATTTGAGGCGTACGTGGTTTGGTTTGGTTCGTTTCGTTTCGGTTGCCATTTAAGCGGATTTTCAAATGCATCCGAAATGTGCCAATGTACCAGGTACTTTGTGGACCGAAGCTTATACCATAGGACACTCGCAAGGAATTTGATAATAGTAGTTGTTATCCACCGAAATTGAATAGTACACATATATTAGGCGTAATGGTTCAAAGCAGCTCACTTTAATATGCCCGTATTACATTTTATAAAGTAAGAGTAGTGTAATATCTCAACTTAAAGATTTTGAAATTACCATAAGTTGTTATCTCTAAGTATTACTGTCCTATTATTAATTTTCAACGATTTAAAGCGTTTGTAACAAATGAAAGTAATTAAAAATCTGAATTCAAATGTGGTTATATTTTTCAGGTATTCACTATCCGATTTAAATAAAGTCTTGTAATATTTAAGCTGTGTAATTTGAGGCCCGCATTTAATGTTAGAACCGATATTTGTTTGCTTTTTGCTGAATACTTCAACCATCTAACCCCAACACATACACCAATTTTTCACCACAACTCCGTTTAATCGTATGTGAACATGTTGCATACTTTGTGGCTGCAGCTGCTGTTTGTTTGCCTTTTGCTTTCAGCATTTTATGATACTCGCGATAATGATGGTTGGCCACAGACACATTACCCCCAGCCACCCACCAAACCTCCCCCTTATTTACACCTTGCTCCTGTAATTAGATGCGCAAGTTAAGTTCGGGCGTGTGAAATTAATTAAAACTTTCGCTGGTTAAAGTTTGGACCGAAAGGCAAGTAACCATCAACTTGAGCCCTCATATTGAGCGTGCCAGGCAAAGAGTTTGGGAATCCCCGACAAATTGCCGCAAGACAATGTCGGGCCACAAAGTCAAGTGCAAAAGTGGCAAGTACATAAGTTGCCAGTTGAAAGTTGCTGATTGTAACTTACAGCATAAATCAGAAATAGTTTAGCCCGTCTGGCCCCCATTTCGTCTATTTGTCTGTCGATTGTCTATCATCGAAGGCCATCAGCAGACAAGCGTCGAGTTCGGTTTCAACATCCCACTTACCAGTATTTTTCCCAGTTGAGTTGTCTGTACACTTTCAATGGGTATTTCGATTTTGGCGTAGACTAAACATCGTACGTTTTAGACGGCCTTCAGTCTGATCCCTTTTTAAACCTCTCGGTTCATAAAAGTCCAACAACATTTTAAACATTTTTCTGCCAGTTTAAACTTATTCTATTCAAATTATATCCATGCAATTCTTAAAGAAAAAATACATAGTTATATTGTTCTTGTTAGAATAATTTTACAAGTAAATTCTTACTTTTATGTAAGATTTTGAAAGAGTATTTCCATTTTAGGATTTAAGCCTCATGTATATTTTCTTTTTGACCGGAATCCCTTTGGCATTTCCATGTTTGTGCTAGCGCTGTTTTTGTTGCCGCTGTTTGTTTTCTTCGCTGTGGCCCAACATGCTGCATATTTATGGCATGCCGCAAACGTTTATCTAAACTACATAAAGCAATAAAAGTTAAAAGTCAAATAACTGTAGTACGGTTCCTTGAAGTTAGCCTTGTTGCTCTTTCGGTTGTTATTGTTTTTGTTATTGTTCCAGAGTGTTTTTGCGGTGCAAGTGCTGAAACAGATGCCATCGGGTGAGTCTGCAGGAGTTGTCCCCCCATCCACAGAATATATCCTTGATTGTGGCTGGGTCCGCCCTTTGGGAAGCTGAACGCAAGCTGCCGACAACCGACAATGATGAGGACTCGTTATGGTTCCATTTTCTTTGGCAGCACCTTCAGGAAGTGTGGGATCTTAATAAAGTCCGGTATGAGGGATTGGGAGATAAAGATTACAATGGAATACCATGGGCAATTAACACCTTAAGTACTAACACAATCATTATAATTTACAGGACTGTTAGTTGTAAAAGTTAATTATTTCTGTTTAAAATGATCAAAAAATAAATTTATCATTAAGCTTATTAGTTACAAATATAAAAAATACCATTATTAGAAAAGTATTCATTATAAAATACATTACGTTGTTTATCTATTAGAAACAACAATCATGTTAACTGTTACCAGTGTTAAATATATCTTAAATAAATTTTAATTGTTTCTATCATTAATTTCCCTAGATTAAGTCATTTACTTAATACAAAAACCTATGTATTTAAGAATCTCAGAACCAGTAATTTTCTTTCCCAAAAGGACTTTAGAAAAGCAGAGAATCAGCATTGCATCCTTTACTTTATTCTGTGTTAAGAACGGGTTTCTTTAATGCTTAAGCTTTTGTATTAAGCATATGAATTCCGAAAGTCGATATAGATATTTTGTTACTAGCCCACTGTTTTATGTATCTGTTTACATCTATAAGCTGTCGAATCGAACTTGCAGATAACTATGAACTCGACTGGGAAAATGGAAAAGCCAAAGAGGAAAAGTGGGTGCCACGATGCGGGTCGAACAATCCTTGAGCGCCATGCACGTGCAGTTCAGTTCTGTCCTTTGGTCCTGCCCTCCATTTCTGCATTCCACATGTCCCTGCTCCTATTCCTGGCGTATCCTTTTAATCCTTTTGCCAATGCATCGCATTGCCTTGCATCGAGTTTGATTTCACACGCGAGCACAAAAACAATAATATTATGCCACAAACACTCGATGCCAACGAACATGGCCCATGTAATCACACTTGAGCTTCTCGCCCAGCCACACACTCACACCCTCGCTGGGAAAACTCAGCACCACCCATACACAGACGCTGGGAAACCCACTCACACCCACAAGGCTGCAGCGAGATTGTGAAACTTCATTATATGCCCGTTGGCAGGCAGCAGCAGAGGCGGAAACCCCTGTACACTTTGCGAAAATCGATAGCCAGGCTGGAACGTATGTGTGTTAAGCTTTGACCAAGCATTATAAGAAAACTTAAAAAACTTTGGCAGTACTGTGTGTTTTAATTATTTAAACGTACTGCAATTTTAGTAAAAATAAAAAAAGGATTTAGGGACAAGTTAAGTTAGTATCCCAAAATTTTGTAAATGGTCTTTAATACCAATTTCATAATTGTTTTAGAAACGGTTTACCAAAGATAATTGGATTTAATATTTGTTAAGGATATAGTATAAATTTAGTGGATTCTTTAGATATTGACACCTTTTAATTTAATTCAAGGGAAACCATGGCCTAAATATTATCAAAAGGCAAGACAAAGGTGCTGCTGAATATTATGTATGGGTACAAGATATGTAAAATAATTTTGTCTAACTACCGATTTCTGTCAGTGCATGACCAGGAGGAGTAGGTGGTGTGCTTTCCCTCTCCTACGCTTACGTTGCATCGGCCAGTTCTTTTCCATTTCTATTTCTGTGCCGGCTTCTGTTGCTGTTTTCTGTTTGGCTTTGTTCTCTGCGCTCTGTATTGTTGCTCCTTCTGCTGCCTTTCGCCTTTGGCCCGAATGGCATTGAGCTTGAAAATGTGTTTATTTGCCGGCACACACACCCGCACATCCGCATGTCCACACATTCAGGCAGCAAGTGCCTGCCATAAAATCGCTGAATCCATCCACGACGAGGCAAACAAGCTGCCATATGTCTGCGTTGGTC